ACTAGTTCCAAGACAGGCTCCAAAGCTACAGAGAAACATTGTCTCAAGCTAGTTCCAGGACAGGCACCAAAGCTACAGAGAAACCTTGTCTCAAAAAAAACAAAAACAAAAAGAAACTTTTTCTTGTCTTTTGATTAAAATGGATTTAAGAGAATTACAAATTGTGTGTTTATTGTTAATTTCCACACTAAAATTATATTGACCTGTTAATGTTTGTAACTGCTTTGGTTCACTATAAGATGCTACTGATTTAAAAAAAAGATTACAGTTTGTCTAAGAAAAGTTTGACCTTACCAACAAGTTCTTGGATTGGACATGTTTAATGAAAAAAAATTTTATTTTGAAACAGCTGAAAACTGTTAAGAAACACCCTAGACCAATTCAAAAGGGCATTCCCACTCCTGGTGATCCTCCACTCTTTTAATCAGGAGGTACTGTAGCCATAGGCATATATGTAACACAAAGCACTATCTGTTTGTTTATCAATATCTAATTGCTGATGAACTGGCTTGGCAGAAATTTGGCTCAGAAACAGAGCCCAGAGGTGCACTCTTCCTTAATCCTTGGCTTACAGAGGTCAACAGTCGGAGATGGGTAAGATCCTTCCCGGACCCATCCACCAGGCACCTAAGACAAGGGCATCCATGAATAGAATACATGTAACAAAGACGGGTAAGTCTCTAAAACAACAGCAACAACAAAATGTTCACCTAAGATAGTTGCAATCATCTGTCCTGTAGCAAAAGCTCAGGCTTTCTTAAAATTAGTCAAAAGGAAGAATATGTTGAGGCTCAAAAATGTGAACCTATTCTACATTGTCTAGAGGTCAGAGAGTTTCAGCTTGATCAGAGTTGTTGACAAAAACTGTGGCTATCCACCCTGACCTAATGTGTGCTTACTTGGTGTTTTGAACAGTAAGATGACCCTTAGAGGTGTATCCTTCCACCCCGACCAAAGGTCAGAGAATTCAAGAATCCTTCTGCTCCTTCTTTTGAATTAGGAAGTTTGACCTAGGGAGTGGCTGCCTTCAGGATACTTGGTCTAGGGTGGGTTCACTGCCTAAACAACAGAATGCTTTTCTCATGAATTAATGACTTGATGTCTCAAAGCACTGAAGCAAGTAATGTCTCTAGTAGTCTTTTGTATCATGTTAAAGCAGTCTTTTGCGCGCCCCCTTTTTGTATTGGGGTGTAAAAATGTATGGAAAATTAAACACAGGTAAACTCAGAACTCAAAACTCAGGAGTCAAAAGAAATTCAACATTCAATATTCATTGACTTGCCATCCCAAGTCTCTGTGATTCTTTCTTATCTCTGTTCCTCCTACTAAACTTTTCTTATCCTCGTGCCCCTGCCCTGAAACATATGCAACCTCTGTGGCTAGGACTGCAGCAAAAGTCACCCTAAAAAGGTGGCAGATGCGAGAACAAAGGGAGTGCAGGACACACAGCCTAGCAATGGCCTGGGCTACCTTGGACATATGGCAGTCAATGGCATGGCTTACAAACATTGCCCTTCTTCGATAATAGCTCAATTAACTATCACATGCCTTATGACATCTCTCAAGCATCATTGTGTTAGCTTTGTTGGAGGATGGGGCTGACTACACAGGCTACCTGGTGTTTAGAACCTCCAAAGGTCACATGGAAACACTTCTCAAGTCTTCCAAAGCTTGGCCTTTTCTTTCAGCTCTTTACAGTGTGTTTGGGAACTAAATGCTGTAACGTTTGAAAAAAGTCTCGCTTCCTCCCAGGCACAGACTTCTGAAAAAAAAAAAGGGGGAGGGGGGAGTAATGGAGGGGCTTGGCCTGGTGGTATAGGCCTGTAATATCAAGTCTGCATGAGGCTGAATGAAAAAGATTGAAAGTTCAAGGCCAGCCCGAGCAACTTAGACTATTTCTTAAAAAAGAAAAAAAAAATGTTTTTAAGAGGATCAAAAGGAGTTGGGCAGTAGCGCACACCTTTAATCCCTGCACTCAGGAAGCAGAGGCAGACAGATCTCTATGAGTTTGAGGCCAGCCTGGTCTACAGAGCAAGTTCCAGAACACAGTTACACAGAGAAAGCCTGTCTCGAATTACTCCCCTCTCAAAAAAAAGAGGAAAGAGGCTGGGGTTCAATGGTAGAATGCTTTCCCAGAGCATGAACTGCAAAGAAAGCAAAGCACAGGGCTGGAGAGATGGCTCAGAGGTTAAGAGCAGTGCCTGCTCTTCCAAAGGTCCTGAGTTCAATTCCCAGCAACCACATGGTGGCTCACAACCATCTGTAATGAGGTCTGGTGCCCTCTGGCCAGCAGGCATACACACAGACACAACATTGTATACATAATAAATAAATAAATATTTAAAAAAAAAAGAAAGCAAAGCACATATTGAACTATTTCATAAAGGGACACTGGGTGGTAGCACCACATCTTGACCAGGTTTGGGCCACAGTTAGGCCCCCATGGAGCCCTGGGGGATTTGGCACTGTTGGCGGTGCTGTGAATTTGCAGGTAGACCTTAAAAGTGACTCATACAGGTAAACAATAGGACCTAGCATTTGAGAGTATTTATCATGTGCTGGAGTTGAGTGAATTCCAGTTATTAACTAACTCATCAGTTATCAAAACCATTTTCTCTTTTTTTTTTTTTCAAAGAGATTGAAAGAGAATGGTATTGTATTGTGGGTGCCCTCTAGAGAGGACCTCTCAGACGTGGTTTACAGACAATTGAGCATCTTTAGTCTCGCGGGTTGGGGCTACACTAAGGTCTTTGGAACTCAAGTGCAATGTCAAATGTTTAGAGCAAGTTGGCTGTTTTGTTTTGTTTTTAAAGACAGTATCTTGGCAGCTTCAGGGGGAGGTTTTGCACAAACAAGCAGTTTAACCGAAGCTAAGGTAAACAGTTAACTGGAGGGGGAGGTTCTTACAAGCAGGTTGTTTAACAGAAACTACAAGTTAGCTGAGGCAGCTTGACCTCAGGTTTCTAGAATAGAGTTAAATAATTTTCCATGAGGGCTGGAGAGAAGGCTCAGCGGTTAAGAGCACTGCCTGCTCTTCCAAAGGTCCTGAGTTCAATTCCCAGTAACCACATGGTGTCTCACAACCATCTGTAATGAGATCTGGCACCCTCTTCTGGCCTTCAGGCATACACACAGACAAAATATTGTATAAATAAATAGTTTTAAAAAAATAATAATTTTCCATGAGATTCTCCATCAGAGAGGCCAAATTCGTGTTAACCTAAAATGGCCTCAGCAAGAATACAAGATAGAGGAACCGCTACACTGTTTGCCTTGTCGACAAAAAGAAAGAAGTAGCTGTGTGGTGGTTGTGTACACATTTAATCCCAGCACTCAGGAGGCAGAGGCAGGTAGATGTATGAGTTCAAGACCAGCCTGCTCTACAGAGTAAGTTCCAGGACAGACATGGCTACACAGAGAAACTTGGAAAAAGGATGTGGGGGTGGGGAGGCAGAGAAAAGAGACGGAGGAAGGGACAGAAGGAAAACTAGAGGAAAGGAAAAATTCAAGTTTAAGTCCCATGATGCCAGTAGGTACCATTCATTCATTGTTTTTTAATATTTTTTATTTATTATTTATATTTTATAGATGAGTACTCTGCATATATACTTGAAGCCAAAAGAAGACATCAGATCCTATTATAGATGGTTGTGAACCACCATGCAATTGCTGGGTATTGAACCCAGAACCTCTGAAAGACCAGACAATGCTCTTAACCTCTGCGCCATCTCTCCACCCACCCACCTCCATTCACTTTTTTTTTTTTTTAGAAAACTCACCTTTGAGTTTCATCTTCCCAATGTGCAAAATGAGTATGCAGTCAACATCTCACTGGGTGTCCATGAGATGATGGAGACAAACCTGCTGCAGAATATTGGCCGCCGTTCACTTCCATTTTTCTTCACTGGTAAATTGAGTTGACGTGAAAAATATTTAAGTTCCCTCCATCCTTGAAAAGTAAGGCTTCGTATTCTTTATTTTTAGATCCAAATGTGGAGCAATTGCGGCCGAGGGGTTGTCAATGGGACCCATCTTAATACAGCTATGATGGCCTGAAATGCAGCGTCTCTTATGTTGTAAAGTAACATCAGTGTTGGTGACAGTACTCTCTATACTGGAAGTAAACTCATAGAGCAGTACACATTCCATCGCCACCCCCCCATGAGATGTCTACCCTGCGTTGGCCACTAATACCGGTTTGCAGGATCTTCATACGACATGAACCTAGAGGGAGAAGCCCCGCCGTTCTCAGCTCCTCTATCAGCGAATAAGTTGTTCCTTGTGTTTCATTCTGAGTCCCTCAACTCCTTCCCTATCAGATAAGAGCCACAGACTTGAGGTTGATAGATTTTTTTTTTTCCATGAGACAATTTAATTTCTTGTTTCACTTCCCCTCCTTGCCCAAATAAGAAGTTAGGACAGATCGGCCCCAGCCCTGCGTCTGTATATAGATTAAGTCTGGCTGGCATTAGTGTTGAAATGAAACCAGGCAAGTGGCAAACCTAGACACGAACATCACAGGAAAAAAGGAAGCAGACAACATTCAGGTTTGTCACCGTGCTGACTGCTGTGTCCACAATTCTTGTTGTACTCTCTCTTAACAATTTAGTTCCAGAAAAATCCCTGAGAATAAGAAACACCTCAAATGTCTCTGTCATTACAGAAGTCTGTGACATCATTGCGACAGAGGGAAAAATGTATTTGGTGAAAATAAACCCATGACCCCACTGAGGAATAGAACTGGCCAAGAATATTTGCATCAAAATCACTACCCAGGTCGGGCGATGGTGGCGCACACCTTCGATGGTGGCGCACGCCTTTAATCCCAGCACTCGGGAGGCAGAGGCAGGCGGATCTCTGTGAGTTCGAGACCAGCCTGGTCTACAGAGCTAGTTCCAGGACAGGCTCCAAAGCCACAGAGAAACCCTGTCTCGAAAAAAAAAAATCACTACCCATTGAGCAACAGCCAATCTAAAGATAGAAATATACCCAAGTCAAACCTGATCATGTTCTGCAACAAAGTGAGGCTGTCGAAGCTCCTGTGGTTTGGGGCTCAACTCCTTCCTCAGCACTCAACACATGAAGCCTGCAGCAGCCAGGCACTTCTCTGCCTATGGAGGAAGACAGGACTCTCACAAGCACAGAAGACCTTGGGTCTTTTGGCTGCAGTTTCGGCCTTGTCTACCTCAGTGACATTTCTTGACTGAACTTGACAAGATGGACTGACTCCTCTCCTCTTCCCCATTGCTCTGTTTCCAGTCACTTTAAGTTGAATCATGGAACCTGATCATTTTCTGCCCATTATCCGTTTCTTCCCTGTGGCTTGTCTTCAAGGTCTAAAATTAGCTTGGACGTCACTGGCCAGCCATGAGCGGGTTGGGGGTGGGGTGGTATTTACAGTCGCCTCGCGGCTACGGTCTTCCCAGTACTGCAGGACATCAGTGTCGGTTATTTTAGAACTGAAAGGAAAGAAAAAAGAAAAACTGAGACTCGTAGCTGACCTAAGTCTGAAGGGAAACCAAATCCCGAAGCGGATAGCCTGGAGAGTCTTCTCTGGTCTGAGACAGAGAGCGGATAGCCTGGAGAGTCTTCTCTGGTCTGAGACAGAGGGGGTGGGAAGGGCCTTGTCTTCTCAAGTTCCACCCAGATGGAGCTTGGGAGCGTGAGAGCACGTGACTATCAGAAGCTCCAAGCCTGTGGAGAGGGCCACCTCTTTCACCCAACCCAGGGAACTTTTTAACCAGGCTTCCTGGCTATTTTAAAACACTGGTGCTTCAGGCTGTTTCCTGTGGCTGCAAACCCCAGGAAACCAAGATAGATAGGGCTCAGAGCTCAGCTATGGTGGCAAAGTAAGTAACTCAAGAGGAAGGAGGAAGGAGAGCAGGGAATGAGCCCAGCAAGATGCCCACAAACTTCATATTAAAACATGAGTTTAAGCTAGGTTCTTATCTCTCTGAGGCCTCACCAGGCTTTCCTAGATTCAGAAGTTCCAAGCAGTTTATTTAGCTGCAGATTTGGGCTCAGAGATGATGTCATGATGAAATGAATTGTGGGAAGGCTACCTGGGGTGGCTTAGGTGAGGCAGAAGAAATCCCCTCCCACAGGCACTGGTATAAATTCAGTTTTCAGTATAGTCGTCTTGATGTAATAAAAACTGGTTCATGTCCTTCAGTGAGAGTTTGTGATTATGCCCTAAGGATGTAGCAATCTGTTCCGCTGACCTCTGAAACACCTGCGACCTGAGATTTAGTGAATGGTTAGCAGGTCTATACTGGTTCCTAACTTCTTTATTGTGCTTAGTCACCTCCTGAACTTGGACCGTGGGGTGTCGACTTTAATCTAATGTCCAAGCTGGATTGAACTGTCTCTGATCCTTTGAGTCACTTATTGCCCTGCCCTAATGGGGAGAGCTTAGAAATCAGAATGGCTGCCTCCGGGGCAATGAATGGCTCCAGACGTGACCTAGCTATGCTCACAGAAGACTTGGGTTTCGTTGCCAGCACCCATGGGGCAGTGCACAGCTGTCTGTAACTCCAGTCTCAGGGAATTCAACAAGGCCTTCTGGCTTTCTCCAGCCTCAGGCACACACATGTTACACATACATAAATGTGGGTGAAATATTATACACATAAAGTAAAAATAAATATAAAAGATGAGAAAGAAAAATACAATCATCTTCATTTTTAATATTTATAAGAATGTGTCATGCCTAGGGATGTACCTCTGTGTACATTTGGAGGTCAAAGGACAACCTAGACAACCTATGGACACCTTCTCTCCTGTCCTGTGGGTCTCAGGGATTGAACTGAGGTGGTCCAGCGGGTTGGCAAGTGCCTTTCCTGGATAGCTATCTTCCTGGCCCCTACTCATTCTTCTTGAAGTGACAAGTATTATTCAAAATTATACTGTAAATAATCACAGACATTTCTGGAAAGAGCCTTGTGGCATTTCAGTGAGGCATAAGAAACCACTGCAACCAAGTACCAACTGCTATATCTATGGCTTCGCTAGCCAAACCTAGTGAGCTGAAAAGTCAAGGAAAGGCCAGGCAGTTGCAGATGCTTCCTTGTCTGTAATCTCTGAAGGGGTAGAATTGAGGTACGCACCAGAACAAGAGTGACGTCATCCTCTGGATAAATCAGGAGGCTAGACCGTGAGAATGGTTACCCCAATTCAGACAAGCACAGTGAGACAATGATGTCTTCATGTCCCCTTCCCCACAGTCAAGTTCATTTAGTGTGTACAATGTCGGCCTAGAAAGCTATGAAACTTGAAGTACAAATTAGAGAAACTGTTTTCCTCTTTGGAAAGTTTTTTTTTTTTCCTGTATCGAGGAAGTGATATGTTCCAAAGTGGTGGGGGCTGTGGACCCCCAGACCCTGAATTTCTTGTAAACAACTTGTTAGGCTTGCAGCTGCTCTGAGCAAAACAACTTGTTATCCTTTGTTTGCAGCTGCTCTGAGCACGAGACCCTCAGGAGTTCCTAATGGCAGAGAAGTGGTTTCTGGTGGGTTTGGATGGGGTGCAGCTATCAGTTAAGGATCCCTATATAAGCTGCCCCTGGATACAATAAAGGGGGCATTCTTGTTTCAAGGGTGACCGGTGTCTCTCTGTCTCTGTGCGTCTTTGTGTGTTTAAATCTCCAGGCCCTTGCCCGAGACTCGCTGACCGTCTCGTAGTGCAAGCACCGCACTACAGGCGTAGTGCTATAGTACACGTAGTACAGGCGGAGAGTACACCACGCACTCTGGATGGACACCAGAAAGGCCCTGAAGGAAAGAGCGTAAGTGTTGGAGTCCTGTACGGCTGCATCACAGGAGGCACACAACTAGTTCCTGGAGCATCTAGAGACTGTCACCGTCCTCAGGGTTTGCCCACAGCTCCTTTCCATTCCCTAGGTCCCTGATGCACGTGACACAGAACCGGGAAGGATTCTAATCACATTGCTTCCAGCTGCTGTGGGAAATCAAGCCATCGGTGACCCTGGCCTCGTCTTCTAAAATAGTGGATTCTGAAGTCAGTGACAAGAGCCACTTTGAAGGGTGATGGCCTGGCATCCCCGGTTTAAACAACAGCACAGAAATGTGCACATTCGCTTGGTTCATCATTTCCTTATCTTTTAGTTGAGTTTATTGCATTTATTTATTAATTGTGCATAGGTGTGCATGCACACAAGTCTACCCAGATGAGAGAATAACTTTCATTTTTTGGGATTTTGTTTGTTTGTTTGGTTTTGAGACAGGGTTTCTCTGTGGCTTTGGAGCCTGTCCTGGAACTAGCTCTGTAGACCAGGCTGATCTGCCTGCCTCTATGAGTGCTGGGATTAAAGGCATGCGCCATCACTGATCGGCCGAGAATAACTTTCAAGAGTCAATTCTCTCCTGCTGCCTCGTAGGTCCCAGGCATTGAATGGCAGTCATCAGGTTTGGCAGCAAGCGCCTTCACCCGCTGAGTCACCTCACCAGCCTTTGGTATTTTTTTCTTAAGTTGGGAATGAACCAATGCTAAGTAAGTGGTCTACCAATGAGCTACACTGGGGATCCTCTCTGTGTTTTTAATCAAAATGTGTATGTCTGTGAGTGTGTGTGTGTGGGGGGGGGGTTCAGATGAAAGTACAAAGTATGAAAAATTATAAATATTATCATGTTGCCTCTATAATTAAGACACATTGGAAAAGCAGGGATGTTTAGTGCGACCCATTTACAGGGACAAGATCTGTCTCTCACAAACCACCATTGCCTGGGATCCCTCACTAAAGTGAGCAGGGAAGCTGGGACCTGAAAGTGTAAGCGTTCAGTCTGTGTATCTGATTGCTGTGTGCGAAAGATGTGGAGAGTGATAGACAGATGAGGACTCAAGTGTGCAAGTCCTTAGAGACTCCCTTTCGCACACGTGCCGCCGGCTAACCTACGAAAATCAGACTCATCAGTGGATTCTAACATGGAACACACTTGGCTGGAGCTCAAGGAAGAGGAGTATGGGAGGAGGGAGATTTCAAAAGAAAGTTAGAAGTGATGTCGTTTTCTAGAAGTATGGGTGTTAGGGGATCTCCCCTGACCTCTGTTGTGTGAGTCTGTGTGTTTCCTGTTCACTGTGGTATGTTGCTCTTTCCCTGTCTCAACTTCATTTGGTAAAGAATTCTTTTATACATTATCTGAAGTTTATTCTTATGTTTGACCTATGGTGATAAAAAAAAATCGTTCTACCTTCCTATGCGCAAAGACACACCCTTTAAACTGTTTACAAATCTGAACTGGGAGTGGTGTCTCCCGCTTGGAGTCCCAGCTCTTGGTGACAGAGGACAGAGGAGGAACTAAACCAAACTCCACCGAGATTAACACGTGAAAGAAGTCGGTTTGTGAAGGAAGACTAAAGAGCTTTCAGCACGTGAATAGCGCATGCGTAGAAACAAAACTCTCAAACTACAACCCAGAGAAGGTGGGGGACTGAAAATGACCATTTGCTGTCAGGATTCTTTCCTCAGCTCCCTAACCTACATCCATCCTTGGGTGAGCAATCCCTTTTTCTGTTCTTCCCACCCTGCGCCTAACTTAAAAGGTAATCCCCCTTGCCCCCCACTCTGTGCGCCTCCGCTGTTCCCTCCTCCCCGCCACTGCCTGCGTTTTCACTTGAGCTGTATTATAACCTGCACTGTCCTCTTCTTTTAAATGCTAGTGAAGTAGTCCTGGTGTTTCTTTCCGAGTCTTTTTGTTTTGTTTTGTTGTTTTTGGAGTCCGGGCGGGGGTGTGTGGGGGGGGGGTGTTGGTCTTTTGCAGCCCTGGCTATCCTGGAACTCACTCTGTAGACCAGGCTGGCCTCAAACTCGCAGAGATCTGCCTCCCGAGTGCTGAATTAAAAGCGTGTGCCACCACCGTCCGGCTCTGAGTCCATTTCTAAATTCTTGTATGAGTGAGACTAAGAACCTCAAAAGGGAGCCTCAGTTTCCCTAGTAAAACTGAAGAGTCCCAGGAGGAAAAAAAATCGACTGAGGTAGGTCACTAGAAGTCAGCCTGGACAATCAGTAAAATAACTAAAGCTTCAGGACCTGACAGTCTTTACGCCTGTACTATTTAAAATTGACTTGGCTCCTCTCCCTTCTCTGGGCATCAGAACATTCCGCCTGTATCCTGTGCAGGGCAAACACAGACAAGCTTGACATTTAGTAATGTTAGCTTCCATGGAATTTGACAGTGATGGGAAGCTGTTGGTTCTAAACGTTTTCCTGTTTGTTTTGTTTTGTTTTGTTTTTAAACATTTAGCCTTTCTTCCGAATGTCCAGGAGCTTCCTGGGAGTTAGATGGTGAGGTCTGCATAGTATTTAATATGCCTTTTTAAGGACCTTCTCTAGCAGCACAGAAAATTAAGCCCCGGAAAGAATTTGGCTCAACAGTCAGTCCTCTGCCTTGCTTTAAAGCACACCCAGCCGGGGAGGAAAGGGGCGGGGAGTACGGGTGGGAAAAGGCAGGGTTAAGCAATTTATTGTCAAGCATGACTTTCTTTTTTTTTTTTTTTTTTTTTTTTAATTGACAGAGTCTCTCTCCAGGCAGTGTTCACATGCTCAGAACTTTAGCTGGGCAGAGCTGGTTAAGCAAACAAACCCAGTCATTTGAATGCAATGATTAACAGGAAGCCGGGGAAGCAGGCACAGTTACCACCGGCCTTCCACTAGAAGAGGCTTGGCTCAGAGCTCCAGAGCGATGTATCGCCGGAAGGTCACCGATAGTGATTTCCCTGTGGGGACGCGTAGGGTCAGTGACCCCAGGCTTCTCCCTGGGGTGGGGCATTTTTGTGTAGTAATTAATTGGATTTTTGTGTAGTAGTTGGTTGTAAGTTGGTTGGAGGCTGAGCAACGGAGCTGCTAAGAAGTCTGTCAATGAAAAATGAAAATATAAGCAAGCTAGGAAGAGGGAAGAGGAAAAGAGAAAGGACCAAGACATTACACGCTGCTCATTAGAGCCACAGCCAGGAGGGATGACGTCTGGACTTGGAGAAAATGTAAGTTGAAAGACACGCCTCTCCAATCCTGTCTGTAAAGACATTTTGCTTGTTTCCTGGCTTTAGACGATGGGCTCCTGGAACTACCGGCGTCTTTTTAGCCTGTCTGTTTTTGTTGCCTTGATGTTTGTATTTATTTACAACAGCAAATTGTGGAAGAACAATCACTTCCCAAGGGTGATTCCCAACGCTTCCGTCTTAGCAGAAGTCTGTTTTCAGATAGTGAGTGAGGAGAATTTTTACCCAGCGTACAGCCCGAGGACAACGACCCTGGAAAACTTCACCTGTTCCCAGTACAGGCTTCAAAACCACTACATAACAGAAACTCTCTCGGAAGAAGAAGCTGGCTTCCCTTTGGCTTTCATAATGACTGTCCACAAAGATTTTGACACCTTTGAAAGGCTCTTCAGGGCGATTTACATGCCCCAGAATGTCTACTGTGTGCACGTGGATAAGAAGGCATCAGAGACTTTTAAAGATGCCGTCCAGCAGTTACTAAGCTGCTTCCCCAATGCCTTCCTGGCCTCTAAGACAGAGGCCGTGGTCTATGCTGGCTTCTCCCGGCTCCAGGCTGACCTGAACTGCATGGAAGATCTGGTGGCCTCTGAGGTCCCCTGGAAGTTTGTCCTCAACACCTGCGGGCAGGACTTTCCCCTGAAAACCAACAGGGAAATAGTTCAGTACCTGAAAGGGTTTATTGGGAAGAATCTCACCCCAGGGGTGCTGCCTCCTGCTCATGCCATCGGTAGGACCAAGTACATCCACCAGGAACAATTAAACGCTAAAAATCCCTACGTGCGCTTTACGCCGAAATTAAAAACTCCTGCTCCTCACAATATGACCATTTATTTTGGCACTGCCTATGTGGCTCTCACCCGTGAGTTTGCTAACTTTGTCCTCAAAGATCAGCGTTCACTGAACTTACTCTCCTGGTCCAAGGACACTTACAGTCCTGACGAGCATTTCTGGGTGACACTTAATAGGATTCCCGGTATGTATATTCTGTTTTCTCTCACCTTCCTCTCAATGGTGTTATTTATTTATTTATTTATTTATTTTATTTTTGTTTTTCGAGACAGGGTTTCTCTGTGGCTTTGGAGCCTGTCCTGGAACTAGCTCTATAGACCAGGCACAGAGATCCGCCTGCCTCTGCCTCCCGAGTGCTGGGATTAAAGGCGTGCTCCACTACTGCCTGGCGGTGTTATTTATTTATAGCTCAGTTTGCTGTGTTTAGCCCAGGCTGGTCTGGGACTCATGAACTGTCGTGACTTCCTGAGTATCTGGGCGATTTTGGTTGTAAGTCACTGTATCTGTCTTCATGAGAACCTGAATAAGCTTCTCAAAAGATGGTAGAAACAAACAACAAAGCAAAACAAAAAGCATGGAGGAGGTAGAATTTCAAGACTGGGTTTCTCCGTGCAGCAGCTCTGGCTGGCTGTCCTCGGAACTCAGTCCGCAGAATTGGCTGGCTGACCTTGAGCTCAGAAATCCACCTGCTAGGATCAAAGGCAGGTGTGCCACTGCGCCCAGAAGTCAATAATTTAAAATAACAAACCTGACAGTTTCAAAAGTTTTTGAGCATGGACGATTTATTTATAATTTTTTTAATTCCTAATTTTATTTGCAAATCGTGATGTTACACGTTGATGCGAACGAACACTGTGAGAGATGAACCACGAGCTGCTTGGGATATCTTGCTTGCCTGCCATTTCCTGCAGGGAGGACGTGACTCTTAAAGGCTGCTGTCTTAGTTGATGTTCAGTTGTCAGTAGTTACCCTGCTATGTTGCCTTGCCTTCTCTAACCTATTCCTCCGTCGGGGATTCTGTAACCTTTGACCAGCAACTTTCTATTATTCCCTCCTACAGCCATCATTCTGCTCTCCTGTCAATTTCTTTTTTATTTTTTCCTTTAGGGTCCACATATCTGTAAAATCATATAGTATTTTGTCTTTCAGTTTCTGACTTTGTTCAGTTTGCATAATATTTTCCTAGCATAAAGGTTTTTTTCCCATGTAGTTACAAATGACTGGATTCCCCATTTAAAAATTTTCTGTCCCATTTCATACACACACACACACACACACACACACATCATTGCTGTTAATGTAAATAAAAAATTCTTTACAGGCGTTCTGCTCACAGGCTGGGAGATACGACTCAAGCCTGTTTTATAAATGCGCAAAAGGACTAGCAGAGCCAAGGTGCAAACTTGATTGCATGGTTGGGTTTTGCCGACCTCCCCAGCCCTGGGCCCGTAGGACCCATTCTAGATGTGTATTTTCTTATGACACAGGCAGGAGATTGAGCAAACCCTTAACTACTCAAAAGGAAAAAAATTAAAACTACTTCCTATTTAGTAACACCACGCTGAGGCAGCCAGAGGGTACGCACGTGTGTCATTAATCTCAGCATTTAGGAAACAAAGGCCATCTGAGGTCTGTAAATTCGAGGACCGCCTGGTTTACATAATGAGTACCTGGCCAACCAGGACTACATTGAGATGGGGGGGGGGGGGAGAAAGAGAAAGAAAGAAAGGCATTATGGTGTTGGAGAGACGTCTCAACAATTAAGAGCTTGTACTACTTTTTTTTTTTTTTCTTTGGTTTTTCGAGACAGGGTTTCTCTGTGGCTTTGGAGCCTGTCCTGGAACTAGCTCTGTAGACCAGGCTGGTCTCGAACTCACAGAGATCCACCTGTCTCTGCCTCCCGAGTGCTGGGATTAAAGGCGTGCGCCACCATCGCCCGGCTGTACTACTCTTTTTTAATTTAAATGTTTAAATAACATTTTTTCATTTATTTTACATACTGGCGGAAGTTTCCCCCCTCCTCTCCTCCCGGTGCCCCCCACTCCCACCCCTATTCCTCCACCCCTCCACTCCCAAAACCCTCCCCTTCCACCCCTCCATCTCCATTCAGTAAAGGGCAGGTCTTCCCTGGGTTCAAGTTGAGGCAGGACTGAGTTCCTGCCCTTGCCTCAAGGCTGGGAAAGGCAATCCAGCACGGGGAACAGGTTCCCAAAAGCCAGCCAAGCATCAGGAACAGGTCCATATCTCACTGCTAGGCGTCCCACAAAGAGACACGGACTCTGAGCTTGTACTACTCTTGCAGAGGACCCAAGTTGAGACCCCAGCACCCACATCAGGCAGCTTACATCTACCTGTCACTGAAGCTCCAGTTGATCTGATGCCCTCTTCTGGTACCCAAGAACACCTTACTCCCATGTAGGTACCCCACATAGATAACACACCCACACATACAATAGAGTAAAAACAAAATAGCTTGTTTGAAAAGGGGAATACATTAAGATTAAATAATATAAAAACATTTGAACAGTGACTTGAATATTTTTTACCCTCATTACCTCATGGTTAAATTCCCATCCTTTTAAATGGGAAGTAGCTTGATCATCATCATGGTCTATGATCCCAGCATTTGGGAGATGGAAGGCTCAGGAATTCAAGGCCAGGCTAGGCGACTTGAGTGCCAGCCTCCAAAAACTGAAACTTTAAAAGACAAAGTGGGGGAGGGGATCAGGGGGCTGGAGAGATGGCTCAGCAGTTAAGAGCACTGGCTGCTCTTTCAGAAGTCCAGAGTTCAATTCCCAGCAACCACATGGTGGTTCACAACCATCTATAATGAGATCTGGTGATCTGGTACCCACTTCTGGCCTGCAGGCAGAACAGCATAGAAAATAACCTTTAAAAAGCGGGAGAAAAAGATAACCTTTCTTTATTTCTCTTCTTTTCTATCCATCCCCCCCCCTCTCTCTCTCTCTCTCTCTTCTCCTCTCTTCTCTCTTCTCTCTTCTCTCTTCTCTCTTTTTCTCTTTTTCTCTTTCGAAAATTTTCCTTCTTGGGTTGAATTAGAAACATAAACGATCCCAAGGAGTTCTAGATCAGTGCCTTCTTAGTAGAAACAAAGACATTTCAAAACTGTTAGATCACACACTCATCTCTCAGGAGAGAAGACACAGTGATAAGCCACAGTCTCCTAAACTTTATCTTTTAAAGCTGATGTTTGTTTGTTTGTTTGATTGTTTTTGAAGACAAGGTTTCTCCTTGTAGCCCTGGCTATTCTAAAACTCACCCTGTAGACCATGCTGGCCTTAAACTCAGAGATCTGGCAGCATGTGTCACCACCACCCAACTAAATCTTTTCTATTTTCTATCAGTTGCTCCTGAAATAACTCTACCTTCTTTGACACAAGTCCCAAATTATTTGAGTGATCTCAAGTTCCTTGTGGTGATTTCAGTCAGTGCTATTTGAACTCAACCCTAAATAACAGTTCATGAAGAGCAGCTAGAGGTGGGCTTGGTGGTACACATCTTTAATCCCAGTGCTCAGGAGGCAGAGGCAGTTGGATTACTGTGAGGCCAACCTGATCTACATAGTAAGTTACAGGCTAGCCAGGGCTACATAGTGAGAGCTTGTCTCTGGGGGTAAATGTAGCTCCCAGATTAGAGGGGGTTTTTTTAGTTTGGAAATTCAACACATATTAAGAATGTTACTATCACCTGGAGCTTAAGAAGACTGCCAAAGACACCCCTCTGAGGTTGGAATGAGTGGGCAGAACTCCCCTGTTGGGTTATGAATCATTGAGAAGGCTTGTTTTAGATCTTTGCCCACAAAGCTTCCTAGATATAGGAAGTGTTCAAAGTCTGAATTTCTCAGAACAGGAAGCAGGCAATGTACTGGGTTAAAAGACTTAGGCTTCAAAAACAGGTTGGAACCCCTAAATATATTATATTTCTCCCCCTTTCTCTTTTCTCTTCTCTCCCTCCCTCCCTCTCTCTGGTTTGTCAGGATGAGGTTTTGCATGTAGTGCAGGCTAGCCTCAACCTCTAAGCAGTCTTCCTGCCTCAGTGTCCTCCGCACTGGAAGGATGGAGATGTACCTTTGTGTCCAGCCCTCCCTACTCTCAGTGACCAGAATAGGAAAAGTGAAATCCCCAGTTCTTCCTCCCATGGTATTTAGACTGTGACATGGGTTCAGGCGCGCCACCAAACTCTAAAGCATTGTTCCTGGGAGAGCAGCCAAGCGTTAAAAAAAACCAAACACCCCATTTCTGGTTTTCTCAGAAAGGACTAAGATAAACAAAAAAAAAAGTACTCAGTCTGGAAAAAACCTGAAGTTTCTTAATGAAAAATCTTGTCACTAAAAGAAGAACAATCGCTGCGGTATGGGAAAAAGCATCTGGGGTCAGGTAGACAGAAGATGGTAGAAGCAAAGATGCTGGGAACACAGTGGGCAGCTGTGTGATCCAAACCTAAGCCAGGGGGGTACAGGCTGAGGAATGTTGTGGGGGAACCCCCTATGTTGGACACATATATGGCCCAGAGACTCTTCCATCCCGACTTGAGAATCCATAGTTGTTACTGGTTGGTTGAACAGAAACTATTGGCAACATCCTGCTTCTCTGCATGATCCATGCTTTGGACCTGGACTTCTATTTGAACCCTGGTAGGCAGTGGTATCAGCAAAGAAAGGGAAACCAAAGACGCCAGTTCAACTCTGCACAGCCCCTGGGTTAAGTGGGTGGAGCTTCCCTCCTTGCTGCAGAACAGAGCCTGGTCTTGCCAACTCTTATCCTAAGTAAGGGAGGCCTGTAGATAGGTCTGGATCATGAGGGTAGAAGTGAACCAAAGATCTAGGTGTCTTGTTCAACTGTTAGTCTGCCAATGTGGGAAACGGCAATATTTTTGTGGCAAGGGCTCTTCTAGTGATGGGTGCAGCTTTGAGCAAGAGGATAAATTATTATTGTTAGGAATATTTCCTAATGCGAGCTCTCTGCCTACACAAAAAAATCTCAATCAAGCCAAATCACAACAAGCCAAATTAGGAAATATCCAGGTTTAATGGGATTCCTGTGCTCTCGGGTGGTCCCGAGGGGGACGGGGGGGGGGGGGGGGGGGGGGGGGAGGGAGAAGGGGGCTGGGTGCGTTGGTGGGGGGGTAGTTTAAAGTGGGGGGGGGGGGGGGGGGGGGGGGGGG